GTGTCCAGCCCATCCCCATCCCATCCCCATCCCATCCCCACGGCGCTGCAGACTCCTGGGGAAGGCAGGCGCTGCCCAGTCCCCCATCCCCGCCAGCCCTTCCTCGCCTCTATTTGGATAACTTTTTCACCCGTTTTATTTATGAGGACTCCCCTCCTTCTGCCAACACGCCGAGTTTCCTCTCGCTTTGCTCTGGGAGGCCCGTCTCGCTTTTTTATTCTTCTGATTTTTCTCTCTCCCCCTCGCACGGCCCCACGCTCGGCAGCCCGGCCCCGCGGCAGGTTGGCCAGAGAGAGCCTTTGTTTGGCCACGGGAGCAGATGGGGAGAGCGGCCGCAGGTGGGATGTGCAGCGGTTCCTCCCCAGCCTCCCCCTGGTGCCCGGCTCTGCCTGACCCTGCCCCGGCTCGGCTCATGGCTCTGGCACCGACCCTCAAGCTGGAAAATCAGGAGAAAATCAGGATTTACCAAAAAAAATCAGGAGAAAATGAACAGTGGCAATGCTTGCCTGGCTGTGTGTAAGGTCACCGATGTGCCTGGGCTGGCAAGAGGCTGCTCACATTAGAGCCAGCTGCAAGTGGGCAGAATAACTTAATTTAAGTGGTTGAAGAGCGTGTTCAGCTCCTTGTGTTGCATCTGTCAGGCAAAGCCTGTTGCTCACTGCAGAAATGAGGCTGGCTTTGCACCCTGGGGCAAAGCAGGACACAGGCACCCTGGATTTGGGGACACCTGACCACCCTGCCCTGCCGTGTCTCCCAGACTGATGGGATCACCGCTTGAGCCTCCCCTTCTCCTGCAGATGAGGCACAACTCAGTCCCTGAGGGATGGGTGGGTTGGAAGACATCTCCCCACCAGCATCAGAGACTCATGTGGGGCTTCAGCCTGGGCTCAGCACCCGCTTCTGCTGGGCCACAGAGGTGCCCTCGCCCCAGGACCCGACCCTCTGTACATCTCAGAGGGCTCAAGCCTTTGTTCTACCCGCTCACGAGCAGCCTCCATCGCGCGGCTCCTTGCACGTTGTCCGAGCAGCACCAGCTGGACACAAAACCACAACCTGCACCGAACAGACCAAAAACTCAGCATTTTTCTGAGTCTGGCTTTACAGGAGGCCCCGTCCCACTGCTGGCTCCTGCAGCTCAGAGCTCCAGGTGATGGAAGCTCCTCCAGAGCCCTGGCTGCTGCGAGCCTGGGACGTACAAACAAGCAACCCAGTAAAAATGGGTGAAAATCAGCATTTCGTAAATGATTCCCTGTAGCTCCCTGCTCCGGCACAGCCCAGTGATGCTATTGCAGCTCCTATGCAATTCCTGTATGATTCCATTGCAATGGGTCATGGACCCACCAAAATGCTGATGAGCCCCACATCTGGCCACAGCTCACCATGGGGCCACCAGAGCCAAAAATTGAGTGATCTGGAGAGTACTGAAGTGCTGGGGGCTGGGGCAATGAGGCACGAGGCCTCGCTGCAGAGGGGATGCCCAGCACAGGGAGGGGTTAGGGCTGGAGGTGGTACCCATGGGAGGCTGCAGGCCTGGAGGAAGAGAAGCCACCACCCCGAATGGGGTCATGAGCAAAGCAGGAGGAGGTGGCCTGGGAACCCCCTGGGGCCTGGCTGCAGCACACGCGATGGCTGGTGGGGCTGGGTGTGCTCGTGGGTGGGGTGTGGTAAAGGATAAGAGGAGCAGGATGTGAAAAATACAGGAAGGAGAGGCAAGGTAGCATGGTGGAGAGCTGTGGGACATGATGGAGAGCTGTGGGACATGATGGAGAGCCAGAGGGAGTGATGGAGAACCAGGAGAAGTGATGAAGAGCTGCAGGGTGTGACGGAGAGCCAGAAGTGATGGATAGCCTGGGAACGTGATGGAGAGCCAGGAGAAGTGATGGAGAGCCATGGAGAGTGGTGGAGAGCCATGGGGGTGTGCTGGAGAACCTTGTAACTGTGAGACCTCATCTGCTGGGGCCTCACCCCACACCCTGGCCGTGCCCAGGGAACTGAGGTTCCCAGATCACACAGGACTGAACCAGCCCGTGCAGGCAAGGGGCAGCAGGGACACAGTTGGACCCATCCCAAGGGTAACATCGGGCTGATGGCAGCCTGGGCCAGGGGACCTGTCCCCTGATGCCCATGTGCGTTTGTTGGCATTGGCATCCAGCACAGCCAAGGAGAGCTGTGGTGCGGGGCTGCCCCAGGCTGGTATGCTCTGTGCCACCCATGGGGCACAGGTACAAGCCTGGTGGGCACATCCCTGCAGATGGGGTGCCCCGGGGCAGTGATGTGCCACCTGATGCCCTGCACCACAGAGGCTGGAGGATGCTGCTCATCCAGGCACTCCACTCCTTGCTGGGAAACCTGCCTGGCACTAACACCAGCCCGGCCCTTGGGGAGAGCGGCGGCGCTGGCAGAGCCGTGCCCGCTCCCACAGCCCGGGCACGCCACCGGCCACCCCCAGCCTGTGCCTCGGGGCTGCGTGTCCTACAGCACCACCTCACCTCCTTCCTAAACTCCTTCCACTTCTGCTGCCAACCCTGCAGCAGCCCCTCCGCCAGCTGGTCGGACCTCGGCCACGTGCCTCCTTCTTCCAGCCAAGCAGAGTGAAAGAGAGAAAACCCATCTATATGTATCTATAGCACATATAAATAATCGGGGACCCTTTTCCTGCCTCCATCTCCTGCCCTTTGCAGGTGGCCTGAGCCGGCGGGGGGCCGGGCAGCACGGTGGGGCCGGGGATGTGGGGCTGGGGGCTCTGCCCGCTCCCAGCCCCGCTCCCCGCGAGCGACGGCGGGGCGGCAGCGCGGGCGATGGGAACGCTGTACTCACCATATGGAGCCTCCATCTTAGCGCTTAGCTGGGTGCTTACATTGACCATGTCTCGCCGGCTACTGCTATGGGGACTTGGGGCGAAAACCAGCGGAAGTGGAGGAATAAAAAGAAATCTAAATAAATAAATAAAAAATGTCTTTCACTAAGGAACTAGGTGAAGGCAGGAGGGAGCGCGAGAGGCAGGGCGAGGAAACCTGCCTCTCCTGTTATCTTATTGATTCGCTTAATCAGGGCTAATGTGGGTGGAGATGTTAAATAGTAACCAAGCTCTTATGGAAACCAATCTGCAAGGTGCCGTTGCTGTAGCTATAGTAACTGCTGCCAAGCTAGAAACTCAAACATGGCTTTTACTGGACTCTTTTGGGGCTCCTGTCTCCACCCGGTGTCAAGGCCGGGGCAGCCACCGGGCTGGGGTTCACCCCCGGCCATGGGGGGGACGGGGTGGCTGGATCCGTCTCCGCAGCGCCCCAGGTCCTGCTGGTTTTTGTGCCGTCGCCCACCCGCGATGAGAAAACCTGGGCTGAGCCCACCTGTGGGCAAGGGGACGACTCTGCCGGTGGGCAAGGGGCCGTGGGATGAACCATGGGGGCTGGCACGGGCAGAGCAGAGCCCGGCTGAGGCACAAGGGGTGAAACACCCTGGCCATGGGTCAGAGCTTGTCCCCTGGGTGCAAAATCGGAGGGTGACGTGGGGATGGGGAGCCACAGGGATGCTGCGGTGGGATGCAGGGTGGTGCCCCGAGCAGGGGGCTGGGGGACAGGGTATTTGCAGCTCCTTCCTGTCTCCTTCTGCTCCCCACATTGGGGGGAGCCACAAGGCACCACAGCTGCTCATGGACATCTCTGCTCCCTCCCGGATGGCAGCACCCAGGTGAGGTGCTGGGCACCTCGTGGTCCAGGGTTTGCAGATGCTGTCCCCCACCTTGAGGCAGAGCCCCTGTGCCGCTTGGTGGCTCCGTGGCAGGAGCAGCCCCTGCTCCTGGGGGGCTACGGGGAGGGAAGCAGGGCCATGTGTTGCTGAGATGATGCCAAATCTGTGAGGGATTCAGAGCTGGAGCAGAAAAAGTGATCGTCTGGCAGCGCAGGACCTCCTGTATGTCTTGGGAAAGAGCTGGGCTGGAGAAGGCACTGAGAGGTCCCTGCCAGTCCCAGGAACCCCCCAGCACCCCAGTTATTGAAACCCTGCAGCCCCAAGGGGACAAAATTAGGGATATCTGCTCCTCTGGGTGGGAAGGCACATCCCAAGGGAGCGTACAGTGGGAAGGGGTGATTGGGGAGGGGGCTGCCGGGATGCAGTGGGATGCGGTGGGATGCGGCGCAGGAATTAGCAGCTGGGGACTCAGACCCAAGGCCTGGGAATGGGGGGACCCCTGAGTTTGCTGAGTGCTGAGAGGTCCTGGAGAGGGAGGGGATGCAGATAACAGGGTCCTCAGTAGCACTGGGGGTGAGGCAGGGCAGTGGGGTGGCGTGGGTCAGCCTTGGGGGGACAGGGAGCTCGTGGCTCTCCAGCATCATCATCACCAGGTGTCCCAGCAGTGCTGGCTTCTCCCACACGATGGAGCAAAGCACCCAGGCATCTCCTGTGGCCATGGCCCGTGGTGTCACTGAGGGTTTCTGCTGTTTACCCCCAAATCCAGAGCAAAGACACCAGCTCGGTGTTACCCCAAGGCGCCAGGCTGTGAGTAAGGGAGGACCAACACGAGCTTGGGGGTCTCCAGGCTGCTTTATTGGGGGGCTCAGAGCCAGGAGCCCTGTGGCCAGACGGACTGCTATGGAGCAGGGGACACACTCGGAGCTCCCCTCTGGTCCTCCTGCCGCTCACCAAGAGGGGAACATCTTGGTATTCACTTACACCAGCCTGTGTCTTAGCACGGGTGGGGGGCAGTGGGGAAAGCCCCCCAAGCCCACAGAGCAGGGACCACGCCAGCCAGCCCTGCTCCCTCCATGCACCCCCAAACCATCCCTATTTCATTAAATAGGGACCTGAACCATCCCTATCCCCCCCCCCACAAAGTGGGAAGCAGCCGGACAATGCGAGAGGTGTGTTAAAAAAGCAGTTTCCTACATGGCACTAGGGATGAAGCAGGTGGGACAGCCGGGCTGCCGGGGGGTGTCAGTGTTATAAATAAATCTGGTTCACCCCGTTCCCACTCCCGGGGGCTTCCTCGCAGGGCAGCAGCCCTAGAACCAGCTGACTTGGTTGGATTTGAGTCCAGTGAAGCACATGTTGTTGGAGCAGCCCCCGCCGTAGGTGGGGGGGCAGGCTGAGCACGGCCGCCCCACCTTGTATGGCGCTTCTCCCAGCCAGTTGCCCCTAAAAAGAGAGGAGGGCATCACCTCCGAGCCCCATCGCCTCACCGCTGGCACCGGAGCGAGGAGGAGGAAGGCACGGGGAAGGGGGCATGCTTCCTGCAACTTACTTGAACTTCAAGTTCATCACTTACTTGATGGCGTAGTTGCAGACGAGGAGGACGGCGTGCCGCCACGTGCTGCCCCACACCTGGACGTTGGCACAGGTGCTGAGGGCACAGCCCAGGCGGCTAGAGGATGCCCACACCATCTGCAGCAGGACAGAGAACAGTTGGTGACTGCCCCCCCAGGGGTCCCACGGCCACTCACCCTGGGACCCCAGCACAGGGCTCCGTCCCACCGGGGGATGGCATCCCGCCTGCCCCGGGTTTCTGGGGCTGGGTGCTGTGCCCATCACGGGCAGTGCTTTGTCACCAGAGGGTGATTTCTCGCTGTCCATCTTCTGCCCGCAGCCTGTGCTGCCCTGCAAGGGGCTGCCTTGCCAAGCTCACTTAAATGAGCAGCAGAGTCTGGGTCACTTCTCCGTTTTACTCACGTTAGTTCCTTAAACCTCACCGGTAGCTTACTCTGGACACAGGGAGGTGAAGCAGAAGCTCCTCCAAATTAGCTCCTAAACCTCACCGGTAGCTTACCCTGGACACAGGGAGGTGAAGCAGAAGCTCCTCCTAAAGCTTCTCCAGGCTGAATTTCTTCCTTAAAAGAATGTATCATCTTGCCTATTGGCAACCCGGAGCATCCCTGAGCATCCCCATGGATGAGCTACACAAGGATGCAGTAGCTCAGGTAAAGGTTGGAGCTATGCAGAGGAGGTAATTAGGGACTGGCACAGCTTTATCACTGAGCAGGGGAGCAGAGGAAGATTTTCCACCTTGTGCCAGCCAGGCAGCCAGTGAATGTGCCAGGGGACAAAGGGGCTGCATTCCCAGGGAACCAGACATGGCTGGGTGCTATAAAGCCACTCCGTGACAGAGGAGAGGATTGATGCTCAGCAAAACCACAAAGGCAGATTTTTTTCTCTCCACCTTTGAGGTGCCAGTGGGGTAATAAAGAGAAAAAAAAAAAAAAGCCAAAGCAGGGAAAAAAGCTTAGAAAAAATGAAAACCTCCCAGCCAACTGGCCAGAAGGTCCCAGCACACTTGAGTGGGGTGTAAGCCCCTGGGACCTCCATGCAAGAAGTCCAGTTCACACAGGGGACCAGGGTGGGAGGGCATCGCTGGTGGTTGCCTGCACCCCTCTGGCAGGCACGCTGCCTGCTGCCAGCCCCCCTGCCTGATCTGGAGCCAGCAGCTGCCAGGATTTGATCCCAGATTCCAGCTGCTGCTTGGAGAAGGGGTGCTCCCTGCACGGGGTGGGGGCTGCAGCAGCCTGAGAAACTCTGAGCTGCCCCTGGGTTTGCAGGCAGGTCCTGGGGGGGCTGCGGGGGGCTTTGGTGCTCACCTGGGTGTAGTGGCTGCAGACAGAGCCGCTGCATTTGGAGGGGCAGCGGGGGTTGCACTCGCGGGGGTGGGGGAAGGAGTAGTGCTGCTTCTCCTGGTGCCACGATTTCACCATGTCCAGGACAGAGTGGTACCTGCAAAAGGTGCCCTGCGTAAGGTGGATCATCTTCCTGGCTGAGGAAGAGGAGGGGGGAGGAAGGCTCCACATAGAGGGAATGGGGAAAAGAAAGGGGATGGAGCAGGGTCAACGATGTCTTTGCACAAAGTCCACTCTGCCCCAGGCCAGAAGACCTGGTCCTCTCTGGAGGCACCTGAGCACTCTGCTGCATGGTGGAGATCCAGGACCCACATCCCCCTGGTCTGTGTGCCCAGCAGAGAGGGAATTAATGCCACGGTCCCCAAATGAGCAGCAGGCACCTCTAGTTTCCCACGTTTACCCTGCTGCAAGAGCTGGACCCTCCTCTCCCCCCTTGGGGGGGCTTGATGTGCCTCTTGATTGCATCTGAGTCCTCTGCAACCCCAGCTCAGAACCTCTCTAGTCCTCAACCAAGGAGGTGCTGCTGCTCCTCCTCCAGCATCGTGGGGTGCAGGGGCTCCCCAGGAGCACTCACCTGCCCGAGTGGATGGAGAGGTTCTGCCCCACGTATTTCATCAGCTGGGGGGGCCCGTGGTCCCACAGGCAGCGTGCAGCCCACGCCTCCGCCGCCCTGGCCAGCCGCTCGTCCCACACCTGGCCAGGAGGAAAGGAGAAGGGCAGGCAGGGATTTCGGGTGCTCAGAGGAGAGGAGAAACCCTCTGCCTTGGGCTCAGGGGGCATTTCTCAACACCCATGGGTGTCCAAAAACTATGACTCGACATCAGGCTGGGAAAAGCCTGCAGGAAGCAGGGCAGCGTGTCCAGGAGCAATGAACCACCCCAGCTGCCCACCCCAGCTCCAGGGCACAGAGAGTGCCCACTGCCCAGGCAGAGAACAGATGCCCTGAAGCAGTGCCAGCCCTGTGTGGGTGATTCCCTCTGGGAATGAGCTCTTTTGGCAGAAGGTGGAGTGGAATCCAGGGATGAAACCCTGCAGCCCTGTGCCACCACTGCAGCTCACAGCCATCTCCAGCCTTTCACCGCAGCCCTGGCCACGGACTGAGCAGTGAGGACAGCTGGCTCCTTCATGCTTTATTTAAAGGTTCCTCACCCATCCTGAACTGCTTTGGGGAGATGCCTGAGAGAGTTATTTTGGAAGGCAGGAATTCAGACCAAGCAAGAAGCGGCACAGGATGCTCCTGGGCATGTCTGACCTGCTGTGGTACCCAACAAGCCAGGCTGATGCCAGTGTCTCCCAAACCAGCATCCAGGGATCACCCAGCCACTCCATCGGAGCTCTGGTCCCCTCCCTGGGAGCAGAGCAGCATGTGGCACCTCCTGCACCACTCTGCCAGCTGAAATCCTTCCTCTTGGTGGCTCCCCGTCTCTCCTCCCTTTGGGGCTGGAGCTTGGGAGCTCCAAGCAGGGTGGTGACAACATGGGGAAACCTCTGCCCAGGGTGGCCCTCATCTGGAGGAGGTGCCTGACCCAGTGAGGCTGCTCAGTCCCTCTCCATCTCACTCCTGGATGTTTCTTTTCCCAGGGGCTGGCATCCCTGGGCACACTCCTGCACCAGCTCCCAAAGGACTCTGGAGCTTGGGATGGGGCCATCCCGCCTGGCTGAACTTAAGGGAAATGCTCCCACCTGCATTTTGGGTTGGGACCTGAGCTTTTCATGCTTGTAACCACCTCTCTTCCCCTAATGCTACCTCTGCAGCTCGGCTGGATGGATCCTGCCATCTCACAGCCAGCAAGCTCTCAACAAGCACAGGACCAGGGGTGGCACCAGGTGGAAACATCACCCCATTGGGACTCCAAGCCTTGTGTGTAGAGGCTGAAGGGTCTGCCCTGCACCAGGGATGCAAAATGTCCCGTGGGAGAGGTGTCTATCTGCCAACCCAGGGCAGTACCCTGACATCCCCATGTGTGGGTGCCCTGTCCCCCCTAGGGTGGGTGCCCACATCACGGGCGATCCCCTCAACCCCACGGCAGCAGCCAAGAGCTGTGGATCCCCAAACACCTTGCCGGAGTCCGACTCACCATATACTCCATGTTGGCGGCGGGGGGGGACACCTGTGACCGCACTTGGTTGTGGTAGTCCAAAATGACACTCATGTCACGGGGGGAGAGGTATCGCTTCCGACGGCTCCGGGGGACCCCCGCGCCCCACAGCAGGCCCTCAGGTCTACCCCCGGGGGGGGACAGGAGCTCGGTGGCGTTGGGCAGCAGGAAGGAGCTGGACTGCTGTGTGGTCCAGAAGCCCAAGGCGGTGAGGTACAGGGGCAAGTGGAGCACGGCCATGCTCGCCCAGCCGGCGGGATTGCCCGCCCGCTTCCCCCTCCTGCACGGGGTTAAGCAAGAACAAGGCAGATCACCAGTCCCCGCTGTCAGAACGTGGATCTAGGAGAGAAACCGCCCGGCCGCTTCCCCCTCCTGCACGGAGCTAAGCAAGGACAGGGCAGATCACCACGCTGTCAGAACGTGGATCTAGGAGAGAAACAACACAGGCACCGCTCAGGTTTACGGTTTGCATGCAAACACCACTTCCCAAAATAAGATGGAAATAAATTTTCCTTTTTTTTTTTTCTTTCCCTTTTCAAATTAATTTTTAAAAATTAACCTCTTCGATAACCTCATTTATCACAGCAAATCCCCCAGGACCGGCAGAGAAATGGCTGGGGAATTGATTTTCTTGTTGTTTCTTTAAAGAAAAACAGACCCAAATCAGTACAAAATCTCCCCCGTTTTTTCACTTATCGCACGTACCTGCCAGGCAGGGGCTAATTAGGAGCATGCTGAGATATTCACTGCCGCCGCCTGCCCTGCAACTTCCCAGGCGTTTGGTTTGTTGAGTAAATCCCCAGCACAAATGGAAATCTCATGCACATACAGAAACGCACCGCAAGTTTTAAAAGCATCGACGCGAAATCCTAAAGATTCTTTATCTCAGGGAATGAAAAGGAAACCACCGCGAAAACCGGAATCATTAAAAAAAAAAAAAACAAAAAAGAGAGAGAAAAATGCCGGAATATCTCCTCATCTGTCAGCCGATGCACCTCCTAACATCCCTGCCAGCCCTTCCCCGGAGCAGCGGGGAGGATGTTCCCCCGACTACGTACCTCGAGGACTGAGCCAAGAGCAGCCGAGCCCGGCGGTGGCCGCCGGTGGGATTGACCTTTGAGAACAACCTGCTGGGGCAGATGTTGGGGGCTGGGGGGGCAGGTTTAGCCTAGTCCCTCCGGGCAGCCCACCACCGCATCTGACGCAAAAGCTGCATCTTAACTCTTCCCCCCGGGGAATGTCCTGAAGTTCGGAAGGAGCCCCGCTTGGAGATTTATAGGCTGGTGGACGCATCCGCGCGCAGGGGCGCGCACGCAGCGGCTGAGCCCTGCACGGGGGGAAGCCAGCAGAGCCCCAGCGGGCAGAGGGGCTGCTGGGCAGCTGCTGCTGGGTTTTTTTTTTCCAGCTGCCTACGGGGAGAGATTCCTAGAACTGTCTCTCCCCTCTTCACACACACACCCCCCCCACACACACGGTGGGGGGGGTCTCGCTGGGAGCGGGGGGTAGGGAAGTGAATCCAGGTTGGCAAGGGGGTTTTGCCCTGGGAAGGCATGACCAGCATGACCTAAGCAGGTGGCAGAAGTGTCCCTTTCCAGGACTTTGAATGTCCCTGCACCAGCAGCATTCCCCCCTAGAATTGAAGCCACTGGCTGGTTGGGTTCCCCAAGGACTAGGGTTTGCCGCAGCCCCAGGGGGGGCTCTGCCCCTGTCCCCACCACTGGTCCAGGCTGGTGATACCCAGCCAGGGGCATCTCATCAGGGGAAAAGAGCCCTTCCTCTGCGGGCTGTGCTCTGTCCCCAGGGAGGGGAAATGGCTGCAGAATCCTGAAAGCTGTAGACAATCCTGCAGCATTAAGTGTGTTTCCCTATAACATCCCAGCGGTTACAGCGCCCGGGGCCAGCTGAATTATTGCAGGTCACAAAAATGCAAGCCTGGCAGGCTGGAGGGGCTGCTTGCAATGCCCATCACATCTCTTCCTCCTGCCGTGTTCGGAGCCAGAGCCAGCAGCCATGTGTGAGCTCTGGCACAGCTCAGTCTCATCATCACCCTGTACCACGATGCCCCAGATAAGCAGGGTGCTCGTCCCACGCCTTGCCAGGGCACAGGTGGGTTTGGAGCCAGGATTTGGTTTCTTGGGCAGCACCAAGACAAAACTCCCTCTCCTGAGCTGCTGGGAGGCAGGGAGATGGAGGCACAGAGCTGAGACCGGAGCATGCCTGGGAGGAAGCTCGGACAGGGAGACAAGGAGGCTCCTGGGGAGGAGAAGGCAATCCCACAACAGCAGCCCATCACTCCTTCTCAGTTCCTGTCCTGTCTTGGGACTGATGGCACATCATAGAGCCCAGCTGGCTTCACCCACAGTCCCCAGGACCTGCAGTGCAACAGAAGCCACCCCGGAGCTCGGGGGGGAGCAGACCCAAGTGTGGAGCGGGAATAACGCCCAGGTGCTGAGCTGATGTGCTATAGCAATACAGCTTCACCCTGCTCTCAGCCTCTGCTGAAATAGTCCCCCATGTCTATTTTTCCTGGCATCTGCTCTCCCATAAAGCAACTCAAGATGCTGCGAGCCCCGGGGAGCGGCTGGAGACATGTGCAAGAGGGATATTTCCATCCTCTCCCCACCCAGTGGGTGGGATGATGATTGTGCCAGCGAGGAGACAGGGAAAGCACTGCCAAGGCACCTCCAGCCCCTTGGTGTGGAGAGCAGCATCATCCCGTGTGCTGTCAGGGGTGGGCACGCTGTGGGGGCTGTGCTCTGCCCCAGATGCCAGCACTGGGCACACTGGGGTGTCAGGGTGGCTCCCAGAGCCCACCAGCTTCCCAGGTTGCCTGTTGTAGGATGTCTAACCAGCTCAGCTTCACCTTCCCAGCACCAGACCACCCCAAAAAAACAGTCACTTCTCCCCAGACGCTGGGCAAAGCTGCATCCCCAGTTTGTTGACACCCTGATTTGATGTTCATCCCTGTGTGGAGGTGAGTGCCAGCTCCAGGGGCTGGTGGCAGGAAGGACCTTTGTACCACACCGGGACGGCACACACCGGGGCCGTCTCCCTCCGCTCAACCTCAGCCACCAAATCTCTCATTAGTGAGGCTGGTGAAGGCGGCTTCATTCCCTGTGGATTAGAAAGGCAGGTGGGGACACACAGCAGCGATCTCAACTGGGCAGACTGGGGACGTGGTCCGGGCATACTGGGAGGAGCAGCTGCCCACCAAGGCAGGAAGGGCACTGGGGCTGTGTTATGGGGAAGGTATTTTTAATGATTTATTATATCACACAAGACAGAGCGCTGAGCAGCAAATGCTCCTCCAGTACCATGAACTGCAAAGCTTTGCATTTAAGCATTTTTGGGTTTTTTTTTTTGTTTCCCTGGGGCTCGGGGCGAGAAAACCCAGCGCAGCTCCCACTGCCACGCAGCAGCCGAGCCGCCCCGAGCCTCTGCACGGAGACAAGGCGAGGGTTTTGTCTTGGGTGCAGGTTGAAAGCACTGCTTAATCAGCACTCCGCGAGACAATCCAAATTCCAGGAACTGGAAGGGGTTTGTGTCCTTGCCAGGCGTAATATCCTGCAGCCCAGACTGGCCCGGCTGCCAAAGCACACGGTATCTGCAGCGAGGACCTTGCTGGGAGCCAAGAAGCACACGCATTCAGCTGGACACAGCAGCAAATTCTCATTTTAATGAGCACTGGGGGGAAAAGAAAGAGAGAAATCTCTGGGTTCACAGCACTGTCTTGGCGGAGATGCCCACCGATGCTTTTAAGATTGACACACGTAGCAGCTCGCCCCAGAATAAGCCACAACGGGACTTGCAGGATTCCTCTGTCATGTTTGTTTCTCCCCTCTGTTGGCTTCGGGCATCCCCCATCACCCACGTACCAAGGTGGCAGGTGGTGACACGAGCCCACGTAGGACTGAGCAGGGCTTTGCCCTTTGCTGAGGCGCGGGGTCTGCTGTGGCCCCTCAGCGTCCCTACGGCTGGAGGAGGTTGGTGTGGCTTCCCAGGGCAGGAGCCTTCTCTTGACTGAGGTAAAATAAAACAAAACAAAAACCCTGTTTGAACAAAACTGTTTTCCCAGGTAATGTACAAACTCTGTTGCTCTGGTAAAATACCCCCCTCTTTATAAACTGGCAGAAAGGCTCGTTTTCCAGCTTTTGCTGAAAGGTGTTCATTTCCCCCAGTCCTGCCCCAAAACACCACCAGCAGCTCCAGCTACCTGGTGTTCACCCTGGCAGGGAAGGAAAGTGGGGGTTTTGGTGGCTATTTGCATTTCTAGAGCCCTGTGGAGATCCATCACATCCGGAGTTTGGTTCCTGCTCATGCATTATGACAGCAGATCTTCCTTCTGACTTAGAGGTCTGAAGATTTGATCTCCATATGTTGTGATGTGAGAAAACCCAGGCTGAACTCCTGCACATTTATCTGTGATCTCCCTGGAGTGAAACACCCCACTGAGAGAAGATTTGATCTCCGTATGTTGTGATGTGAGAAAACCCAGGCTGGACTCCAGCACATTTATCTGATCTCCCTGGAGTGAAACACCCCACTGAGCTGTAACCCATCTGAGATCATTCCTGAGGTCTGAGGACTTCGAAGTCATCCTTCTTGCTGATTAGGACCAGCTCCTTGTAAATGTTGAATCCCTTTCTGAACCAAGCTGAGCCTTGGAGGAAGGGGTGCAGAAAAGTCAAATCTCATGCTGAAGAGGTGACCTCCCAGGCTGCAGGAACAGGGGGTGAATTCTCACCTGCCAGCAGAACTGCACCCCTCTTGGTGCAGGGACACTGTGTTGGGATGGAGTCTTCCAAAGAATTCAGCCTTTCTTCGTCAAAATTAAAGAAGTTTGGCAAGTATCGAACTCCTTCTCCCTGATATCTCAGACATTGCAGGAAGAGAGCAAGTTTCTCAAAGGAAATTTCACAATTTTAATGAGAAGTAGTTAAAATTGTGAATTTGCATCATATGAACCGTCCTTATTATCCTCTGTTGAAACCTGGGATGGAGCAGGAAGCCAAGGTGCGCTGCACGTTCACCTCACCTTCCCTCGCTGTGTCCACCAGGTCATCTCCACACCCAAGACCCTGCTCTCCTCCCGCCGGTGCAGTGCAGCCACACCAGGAAGGAGGCAAAACTGAGCATGGGGAGCAAACCTCAGGAGCAAACCCGAACCAAGACAGCCCAGGTGCATTTGCCAGAGCTTGCAGGATTATTTATGAAGGCTTCAGTTATTCGTTTCTACCAGA